ACAACATAGTTAACTCAAATATTTTGAAAAAACATTTCTACAAAGATTTTGAAATATGACATTTTTGAAAAGTGGCAGTTTAAAAGTGGCATTTCTCAAAATTTCTCTAGAATTTTTTTTTTGTCACAGTAAAAGTTTTATGATATAAATAATTATATATATACTTACCAAGCTTTTTATAAAGGATATATTATTATGTTTTGTGTCAAAACATTTCCAAATTTATCTCTTTATAAAACCAATATATATATATATATTAATTAGAATCTCTTACTAATTTTTTGATGTTGTAGCAACTATGGCATACAGTCTTTACTACTCTAAATATATATATATTTATTAAACGAATAAGTTTTCTTAAACTAATCTTTTGAATGATTTTATTATAAACCATATTTTATATATATAGTTATACACAAGTAGAAAAATCTCACTGTAAAATTTAATTTAAAAACAATAAATAAAAAGTTAATCCGCGTATAACGCAGACAGTCAACTAGTGTGTATTAAAAGCTAAAGAGCCCGTTAATGGTTACATAATAAGATATCACAGAAAAAGTGGAAAAAAAACCACTTCAAAACGATACAAAATACATCATGATTCAATATATCAAATCAAAGATACTACAGTTTTATAAGCTTACAGATTTGGAAGAGAAGCTAAAAGAGATTTAATGATGCATCAATAATTTCAAGCTGAACATCTCTTAGTAATTGTGACTTTAAGTCCATGCTTCATTGACAATATAAAACTAAGAACCGGCTCAATCTTCTGCCCTTTGATAACCGTAATGTCATAGTTACGTAATATTTCCACTGCCACTGTCTTCATTTGAATCATAGCCAAATGCTTACCTAGGCAAGTTCTTGGACCCGAATTAAACGCTAAGAACTTGAAGGAAGGTTCATGTTTTAAGCATCCATTCTCAGAAATCCATCTCTCTGGCTTGAATTGCAATGCGTCTTCGCCCCAAATCGCTCTCATCCTCCCCATTGCATAGATACTAATAATAATTTTAGAGTTTGCTTCAACTTTATGCCCACTCGGAAGCACATCTGATTCGATAGAAGACTTGCGCCCGAAGGAAACTGGTGGATAGAGCCGCATTGCTTCACACAACGCACCATGTAAATACACCAACTTGTCCAAATTCTCTTGGCCATTATCGGTTCTTGATAGATCCGTGTCGATGATCTCTTGACGAATCTTGAGTACCACTTGTGGATTTTCTGAGAGAAGCCAGAAGAACCAAGAGAGACCGGAGGCAGTTGTATCTCTTCCCGCTAGAATGAAAGCTAAGATAGTGTCTCTAAGGAACTTATCGTCACTCGGATGCAAGAGCTCGTACTTGGTTGTATCTAGCTTTATGAAGGAAGTTAAAAGATCCTCATGACTTTCTCCACTGGAAAGATCAAGAATCTCTTCTCTCTTGGCTGATATGTATTTCGCGCATACGCGGTCAAAAGTTGCATTAGCTTCAACCATCTTCTTCTCTTGTCCGATTCTCATCCAGTTTTGCAGCTTCCACAAGAACTTTGGTTTAATATGCCTATACAAAACCCCTTCTCCAACATCGTCGAGAGCTTTAGCTAATTCATCCTCATGCATCTCAATGGAGAGAGATTGAGGATCAGAACCGGTAATTAGGATTAAGATTGTATCAAAAGTGAACCTCCCAAACACATCTTGCAAGTCCACACTTGTGCCTTCCTTTGCAAAATGATCAAGAAGAGGAACAAGCCCGTCCTTGATTTTACTAGCCGTAGTACTCATTGAAAACCTTTGAAACCCTTGATGATGGACCATTGCTTGATAAGACTTCCTCAAATTCTTCCATAGCTCCGAGTCCGTGGTGATAATCCCGTCTCCGAACACATCAAAAACTTCTTGGAACTCCGGTCCTTTGATGTAGTTTGAGAAGTTTGAGCTCATGATATGATGAATGTTAGCTGGATCAACCGTGACCAGCATATCCATTCCAGCGAACCACGGTCCCTTGAATGGAAACGTCAAGTCAGAGAACTCGATAATCTCAATGCCGTAGTCATAGATCCGGTGGAGGACCATGAGCAGACTAGGGAGCATTCCGAGAACGGGCCAGTTCCTAAGGAATGGGCCTTTAGGTTTCTTGAAGAACAAGTAAAGGATGATGAGAAAGCAAAAGATGGCTATGGAAGCATCAAGTAAGTTTATTGAAGCCATATTGTTTGATAGTTACTTTGCTCGCACAAGGAACTGAATTTGTAGGCACACTGCATCACACATTTCAAGGCACAAAATTGAAAAAAAATGTTTTAATACACTAAATTTTGTGATGTGCACAAATTGCAAGGAGTACACAATTAATGCATATAGATTAGGGGTACACAATTAGAAGATAGCATTAACTTGCCAATACACCTAACTTATAAATTTACTACTCTCTATTTCACAAAGAG